GGGGGGGGGGGGCGTATATGTATTAAACCTATCATTTGATGAGCTTTCCATTGAAAGTTAGTGTCAAAGAAGTCATATCTCTTCAATTAAAAACTTTGCATAGGTATTATATTAATGCATGTTAATGTGTTTTTTTTTTAATGAATGTTTTGATGTTAATAAGCCAAGGACTTGGAAAACGTTTTGCTCTAAATGTCGTTCTTGTTTTATGTCTTGTTGTTCGTAGAAGTGCATGTTATGAGTTTTTGTACGAATGTAATTATGTGTAATACCTTAAATATGTGACTAGCTATGTATTTTGTTTATAATTTTATAACCATTGTTTATAGTATAGTATAGCATAGTATAGCATAGTATTTTCATGTATAGCTGGACTTAATTTGGGACTTTATTAGTCCTGTTGTCTGTGCCTTCAATTTCTTATTGTAAAACTAATAAAAATAATATTATGATAGTACTGTGTCTGAGTGTCTGTGTTTAGTATATTAAATAATAATTAAATTCACTTATTCACCCCTTGGTTTTTGTATATATTATTTCTCAATTTTCCATTGATAATTATACTTTTAAATCAGTAGCTGTAACTATATTTAAAGAATTTGAGTTCTTTACAGCACAATTATAAATTTGAGACAAGTTAATAAGTCATTTGTACCGTAATTTTGTAAATGGAAATGCAAAATTGATGGGTCTGCCGTCTAGTATAAAAATGAGGCATATATGTCAGATACATCATGTCATCTATGATTTATATTTCAATTGGTAAACAATAGTTTGTTGATTATGTCAAATAGGATTCAATTTTTATAAAAATCTGCCTGTATCTGGCTACCCTGATTTACAATTATGCAAATTTTTACTTATAGATAGTCAAGTAGATATTGTATTTCAAGCATGTATTAAACATCACACTAAGCCCATCCGAAGCTGAACATGAACAACAACCTAAGCGGTTAATCGCCTCATATTGGAAAGCTTTTGGAGATTGTTAAAAGTTTAAGCTGCAACCAAATCCTGCAGTAGTTCTACACCTTTTTTTAACCGTTGTTTCTTCGCTGAAATCCGATCGCCGATGAAGCGATCTGTATTAAATGGACATATTAAAGTCGCCAATGAAGCAATCTGTATTAAATGGACATAAAGTCCATTTTTTAAAAATATTTCGATTTTCCCATATTCTGTACAAAGCATGACAACACGTTTTCCCATTCCTCCATTCTAACAATAACACTTCCCAAAACAAGAGTGTTTTAGATCAAGATTTTCTACTAAATTTGCGTCGTCCATAGATACAAACAGTTTTGAGAATAACAAATTAACAATTACATGTAACAATAACAATTAATAAATTTCTCACAAACTCCTCCCCCCCCCTCGGTATTTTGAACTATTGGGCGCTTTCTTCAATAACACTGAAACCTCTGCGGAGGAGAGAGAGCATGCACTGAACCGAAGGTATGAAATTTCTAGCTGTCGATCTCTCGAGATCAACGCGACAGGGGCCTGTTGAAAAAGTGTAATGAAAAAACTCAGAAACAATTTGTTCAACAGTGGCTTTAACCATAAACGATTTACTCGTCACATGATGAATAATGAAAACTATATACTATGGGATCATGTTAATGATGTGTATAAAAGAGAAAAGTTAAGGAACCTCTACATCACAGATCTTCGTAGCTCGCACATTAACCTAGATAACCTTAGTAAAATGTGTGTAAAACTGGCTGTGCAAACATTGTCAGAAAAAGTGAGCAGCGTGATGAGCAAGTGTGATGATGACAACACAAAGGCTACCCAAAACTATATAACAATCTGTAGTAAAATTGTGGAGTGTTTAGATGTGGAAATTATTCAACCGCTTGATGATGTAGTCAAATTCTCCAAAGATGGCAAGAAACATTGAAAAGTCAATTTGAAACTAAAACTGAACAAGCCAAGCACTTTGTATCCTGGCAGACAATGTTTGATTTGATGGTAAATACACTGTATTTGATTTTTTAATTAAACATTGTTACTTGAGCAGAACCAGACTCAAGTACCATGTTAACTTATTTGATACTAAATAAGTTGATTTTAACTGGGTCCCATAAACATCCTAACATTTCTTTCAAACCATTACTGTAACCAAAATTGTAGCTTTGTTTTCTTTTCTTTTCTTAAAGGGTACCATAGATGCATTCAAGAAATTCCTTGATTTTATTGCAAGTGAAAAGTTTGTTCAGGAGTATGGTGAGCTATTCGTCATGCCAATTAAACTAAATCAAGACTTTGTAGAGTCTTTCTTTTCGTCTCAACAACAAATGTGTGGCAGCACACAAAATATGACAGCGTTTGTTTACCGGTCAGTATAATCTGCAGACTGCAGACCGCAGACTGCAGACCAAGTACAAAATGCAGAATAGGTATAAATCGCAGACTGAAATTGCCGACTTGGTATAAAATGCAGACTGTGAAAAAACATATATTTTAATATGTCATACTGTCACGAAGTTCAAATTATTTACAACTTCGAGTTTGCGGTTCATTGTCGATGCATGTTAATGTATATAAGCTTTGTATGCTTCATATAAAAAGGTTCAGAGCGATTTTCAAAATATTTTAGTGAAAATTATTGCAAAATTTAAGCACAACAAAATCATAATATTACTGCTATAGTCAGGCGTAAGCGGGTTTAGTACACAATTGTCATTTATTAAAATTCGAGGATAAATTGTTCTTTCTCAAACTTATAAAAGTCATTCACTACACAAATTTATTTTTGTGACATGGTTTGTTGTTTCTTTTAGTTTGTGTATCTGGCTCATTTTAGTTCAATATTCTTCTTTACTCGTTAGGTATTAAATACGGTTTAAAATGTCTTAATTTTGCTTACATTTGCTATATTTAGCAATTAGCAGTTCTCACAACTCTCGTGACATAAAACTGACATTTGAGTCTTAGATTATATTTTGGTAAGTCGCATAATTTTGAAAACGGGTGTAATGTGTAGTTTTATAGGCCTTTATACGTTTTTTTCACAGTCTGCATTTTATACCAAGTCTGCAATTTCAGTCTGCAATTTATACCTATTCTGCATTTTGTACTTGGTCTGCAGTCTGCAGTTTGCAGTCTGCAGATTATACTGACCGGTTTGTTTACTCATACAACATCAATGGCTACAGTTGTGCTCAAACGGCAAAGGCACTGGGAAACAAGCAAACAAATGTTTACGAACTGCAAGAAACAATGAGCTACTTTGATGGCAATAACAATCTCCCAAAAAGAAGAAATGAAAACAGTATTTACAATTTAGTCAAATGGTACATTGACGTATAGGAACACATGTTGTGTCTCTACTTTCAATGGTGGTTCAGGATGAATATTACACTGTGTACAGGGTGTCCCCAAAAAAGTAACACTATAGAAATTATCCTATTGTTATAATTTGAATGCCTGAGCACTATGCTGAACACAAAAATGCGTAGACACAATTGAATTGAATTTTTAATTACCATGCATGTGCATGAAATCCTTTGCTTAACAACAATGGGATAATTTCTATAGTTTCTATAGTGTCACTTTTTTTGGAACACCCTGTATAAGTAGACAATCTATCTCCAAAGAAATACCTACCATATTTATTATCTAAGAAGTACAATTGGTGATGCTCTTGCATCCAAAAAATTTTCAAATTAAAGGCTTGTTTATATGGAAGCCGGGCTCCCCTGGATGAGAAAATTTCATCCCGCTTGCAAGGACAATTTTTGTTTTTGACATCGTTTTGACAGTTGTTAAAAACAGCTTGTGGCAGTATCTTTGATCTTTCATCCTGGCAATTGGGCTAGCCCGCTCGTGACTGTTTATATGGAAAAAATTCCATCCCAGTAAGCGAGATCTCGCCTCTTTCAAGCGATATCTCAGCAACTGGAAGGGCCAGTTTTGTCCATGTAAATGCACAATAATTTTTACTATAAAAATAACTACATAGCGAGATCTTGCTTACTGGGCTGTTTTGCTTAATGGGCCAGCCTGGCTTCTATATAAACAGGCCCTAAGACAGCAACATGAATATATTGTGTAGTATTGCCAAAAATTTACAACTAATAATGGGACAGTGGTGGATATTTCTTTTTAACTTTTTGTATACTGTATAAAGAATTATAAAATAAAACTTACTTTTCGACCATCAATATCCAGTCTTGAAAGTTAAATTTTTGCATGCCAGACATTGATTCAGGCACATGGAACTGTACGCCAATTTTGGAAATATAAACGTGCAAAAGTTCCAAATACACCTTTTTAGTATAAACCTATTTGGTCCATATTTGTTGAACAATTACTAGTCTATGTGAACAAATGTATACCACAAAGTTTGTGTTTGTACACTGGACACTTTACATTCCAGTCTGGATCAATATACAGGTGTAAGTTTTTTTAGTTACTTTTTGCCAGCAGATAGTGTTTGTCGCAAACTCTTACTCTGTTTCTGTGGCTTAAGACTTAGCTGTTCCCAAATGTTTTGTTGTTTGGACTTTGCAAACATTGAGGTTATTCTTTGTAAAAGAATTACACTTCCTGCTTCTTCCTGGTCACTTGACAAATCACCAACAACCTTCCTCCACTCAGTACGCAAATCTTTGCTAAGTACTTACAAATCTAAGTACTTTAACAGTTTATCAATACCAGATTTGAAAAAATTTTCCATTTCTTTATGTAAAACAATAAAGAAATCAAGGAGAGCATCATTAATTATAAATAAAAATTTTCCAGAGTGTCTTGACGATGATCGGTTCCCATCCTTTTCAATAGATTAAGTAAACACTCTTTTGAAACCGTTGTTGAAGTGCTGTCATCTTTTGATCGTTTTATTGAAAAAGGAACTGGAAGAAAGAATTCCATCTCGCGCCCTTTTTACCGCCCAGCCAGCATGGTGACGGATAGCTTGTTTTTCAGCTTCATCCACACAATCGGTCATCTTTTGAACTCCAATTCCTGTGATATCAGAGCTCGCATCAGTTGCACTAAATTTCAGTGCCACAAAACTCCAAAAATACTGCAAAATGTGTTGATAAACAATCTTCGCTTTCGCTTCGACTTGGCGAGCATTTGTACCACATGTATCAGCCACAAGTTGCTTCCAACTGATGTAGTGCCGACGTTTTGTCATATCTAAGCACCGAAAACTCCTTCTATTTGATAGCACATAGATTATCACCCCCCACTTTATTTGCACAATCACAGCATTGTCTAAATGCATCAGTAAGTGATGACACAAAACAATACAAAGGCTTGAAATATTCCTTCTCAAGCGTGTTTGTGAGAATTTTTGCTGCAAATTCAGCTTCAGGCTTTATCTTGCTCAACAAATCCCGATTCAGCATGCTGATTAACTCTTTATTAGTAAAACTAGTATTTGTTTCCACTGTTATTGATTCAAATTCAGCAGCTTCATCTTTGCTCGTGCTAGCGCAGTCCGCCATGTTTTTAAAAAAGTTTTTAGAATCTCAGTGGGGGGTCCGTGCATCACATGTTTCAGGGCACCAATGCTCATTTCACCGCCCTATCTTATAACCGCCCTGATTTTAGTAATAACTCGCACGTGTTACCTTTTATAATAATTTTCCATAATTCATTTTAAGATAGACCTGTACAATAATATCGAAACTTCAAAACTGTAGATAGTTTTGTGGTGTATACAATTATTTTGAGTTGATCAAGGTAGAGCAAGTGTCCCTATATGTTGTGAGTGTGGGTAAGGTCGTGGGTCACAAAATGTGCTAAAACGCTTTTTTCGTTGCGAATATCTTGATACATGCATGTGTGACTAAGGCAAACGATACAATGAGTGAGTAGCCCTGGTCACTTGTCAGGGCTGTCCACATCAAGATTAGAGGTACCATATTCTGTAACATTCTCACCAAAATCGGCTGGTTGCATGCGCTGTGTTGGCAAAAAAAGTGAAATTGCTTTTGCACAAAATTGCAGAATACATCCTTTGGATAATTATGTCATTTGGCTTGGGAGCCCTTGCTCTCATGAATCGTGAGCCAATCACCTTGTGTAATTTACTAATGAGAACGAGGCTCCAAGACCAAAAAGTATGAGTGACATAATTATTGAAAGGGTGTATTGCTTTCGAACGTCACAAAAATTAGTGCTTGACTGAGGATGTTTGCATTACTTGCAATAGTCAGCATAGTCATTTGCGACAACCGTTTTATGGACTATAACGATTCCAAAGCTACAAATGGAAACATTTACTCTTCTGTTCAAAAAAGAAAAATGTTCATGAAAAAATGCGTTTTTTAGCACAATCATGTTATGACCCATGACTTTACACACACTCACAACACACAACTTTGAACCCACAAAACAAGACAAATAGGGACACTCAGAGTGCATAAATTGGATCCGCCTCTTGACACCATGAAGTAAATTATTTACTGCCCCCAGTTCTGAGTTCCAGTAAGTGTTGAGTGATGAAATCAGTGTTAATGTGATGCTAATGGTTTTGATGGGATTAAATTCTTATCAATTTTTACTTCATTGTGTTAAATTGTCATCCTGTTATGGAACAGAACGGTTCTTTTTGACATACTATATAGAAATTGGTGCTGCTTATCATGCATGACAGAGGAACAAAATATCTCCCAATAATGTTTGCAAAATTTGAATTCAAAATTTTAATTGGAATATTTATGTACAAAATGCTAGATGTACTATGGCATATTACTTGGTTTAGATAGCCATTTTGTGATTCACTGTTCACAAATAAGTTATTCAACTAGCTTTCTACAACCTATGATGCAATAAAAACAGGGTGAAAATTTTCTGTGCGACTAAAATGTATGCATCGATCACAGTTTTAAGTTAATCTTGACATGTACAACTCAATATAAGAAGATATAAAACAGTCATCTTGTACATACTTACAGTGAATCATAAATACACATAACATAATTTATAACACATTGAGCATATAGTATTAAAAGTATCAGTAAAAATACGAATGCCCATCATAGTGGGGCGGATATAGGCAGATTTTTATCAAAATTGTTCACTTTTCGTTACAAGCATCAAATTTTGCACAGATATAGTTTTTTACATGCTGAACAAGATTTGATATGGAGCCATCCTGAAATATGTTGCTGGTGACCGTTTGGTAATGCCATATTTTAAATACTTTTATACTTAATTTTACCACTGAAAACTATACTTAACGTTGGATTGTTGCTGAAACGAGATACATAGCTAGAAACCACTAAAGAAAATATACGTCACTTTTTGGACTGTAAGTATCAGCAGTTATGGTAATTTATTGAAATCATACAATTATTTATAACCTATAAATAGAGGTGCTATAAATAACTGTCAATTTATTAGCTCAGAAGCACCAGATGTAGATGTCTGATCAAGACAAAACCGACTGGTCTCGCTGTGTGGTGTGTCAAGAGGTAAAGCCTTCACAAAAATTACAGTGCCAAGCTGACAAGAAACGTCAAAGCGATGCAGGAGCTGGATATTCTACGCTAGCTGCAAATATCCAAAAATTTCATGAGCTTGGATGCCTTCCCATTAATATAAGTCCTTCCAGACTAGACAAGGGAAACGGCATTGAGAACACTTTTGTGAAGAATAATGCAAAATGGCATAAGGGCTGCTACACGCTTTTCAATGGAACAAAGTTAAAGAGAAAAGACATAGCGGCGAATCAGATCAGACCGTAGCACAGAAGTATGCCCGTTCAATTTCTAGTGATATCCCTAAAAGCGTTGCAATTTGTTTTTTCTGTGATGAGATCAGTACACACAGCAAGCCCCTATGCAACATGTCTACTTTTGGTTTAGACTTGCGAGTTCATGCTAGTGCCTTCAAGCTTCCGGATGAAAAGTTGTTAACGAAGCTCAGTCAGGGAACAGACCTCATTGCTCTGGAGGCTAAGTATCACCCTGCGTGCCTTGCTCAGCTCTATAAGAAGGCAGACTCTCTAAATGAAACAGCCGATCAGAATGAAAATGAAATTTCTCCTGAGAGTATTGCTTTGGCAGAGCTTGCTTCATACATTGAAGAATCAAGTGAATCCGTTTTTAAACTGGCTGATCTTGCAAAAGTATACCAATCCCGTCTTCAACAGCTTGGGCGTCCTTCTACGGCTCGAATTAACAGCACTCGGCTAAAAGAGCGGATTCTTACCCATCTCCCAAGTCTAGAAGATTACAGCGAAGGTCGGGATGTATACCTGGCATTCAGAGAGAAGCTTGCCAAAATTATTCGAGGGGCTCACATGGTTGATAGCGACGAAGAAGCTATCCATCTGGTAAAAGCGGCTAACATTGTACGAAAGGACATGTTAACAACAACAAACACTTTCAATGGTTCTTTTGATGCAAACTGCCAGGAAAACTCTGTACCAAAGTCTCTCCTGTCCTTAATAAACATGATTCTTTATGGACCGAATATTGAAACCCAGTCCTGTTACCTGACTGCTAACCAACCTGGTGTGACCATTGCTCAACTTCTGCAGTATAATTGTTATGCACGTCGTAGAGGTACCAAACAAGAGCGTAAGAATAAATCACGTGAAACGCCAGTCGCTATCTACACCGGTCTTGCCATCCGTTCTAAGACTCGCAGCCGCGAAGTAGTTGAGACAATGTACAATCTTGGGCTAAGTGTTTCTTATAATAAGATCCTTTCCATATCAACTTCATTGGGGAATGCAGCCTGCCGCCGCTACCACCAACAGAATGTGGTATGCCCTTCCAACTTGCGCACTGGTTTGTTCACAACTGCTGCTGTGGATAATATCGACCATAATCCCAGCTCCACAACAGCACAGGATTCTTTCCATGGCACAGGGATATCCATTTTTCAAAACCTAGCAACTGAGAAGTGAGGTTCTGCTCAGCAAACCATATCAATAGACAAAACCACAGTGCCAGCTTCCAAAACTGTGGAAGAGCTCCCTCACTGGTACACGAACATAACCCCAGTAGCCTTGCCTAACAAGTCTCCTCCAGTTCCTGATGGATGTGGCCCATGCAATGGATCTTCACTTGTTCATATTCCCGAAGAAGAGGGATTGTGGTTAGAAACCGTCAAGAGTCATTTAGATAATGAAAACTCAAATTCCGACACTGTCATCTCATGGGCAGCATATCACTCTGTTAGTCAACAGCCTAGTTATCATCTACCTGCTGTATCAGCGTTACTGCCCTTGTTTCCTGACAATGCGAAGTCCATGGCCATGATCGCACACACAATGGATGTGATCAAATCATGTGTACATCACCTCAATCCAAGACAGGTTCCAGTGATAGCGTTAGATCAGCCTCTGTATACTGTAGCCAAACAAATACAGTGGAACTTTAAGGAAAAATACGGAGAAGATAAGTTTGTGATAATGTTTGGAGGGCTACATATTGAAATGGGCTTCCTTAAGCTTATTGGTAGCTGGCTAGAGGGAAGTGGATGGACGACCGCCCTAGTAGATGCTAACGTCGCATCATCGGGCACGGCAGAATCATTTATCAAAGCAACTAGTGTCACCTGATCCAGAAGGGTTCATCAGGTAACCGCGAGTAGCCTTTACATATTACTTAAGAAGGCGTACAACAATTACACTCAAGAAGCGAATCCAGATGATGTCCATTCATTCCACGACTGGTGCACTCATCAAGCTACAAATTGTCCGCAGTTCTACTATTGGTACACCGCATTTAAGCTGCAACTCATTCTCCTAATGTTTATTCGATCTATACGTTTAGGTGACTTTTCCCTCTACCGCGACACGCTTTCTTTGATGCTACCCTGGCTGTTTGCTTTGAATCACACAAATTACGCCCGTTGGATTCCAGTTCATCTTCGGGATATGTGTCTACTGCCGCAAATTTCCCCAGACGTTGCTACTGAGTTTGAGCAAGTTTCGTTCACAGTGCGTAAGTCAACAAGACCCTTCTCAGCTATAGCAATTGACCATGCTCATGAGCAGAATAACACAGTTGTTAAAGGGACGGAGGAACAGTGGGTTTAACCGAGAACGCAGGTGCCTTAAGACGATGGATGACATCTGGTCCTGAGATAGCGCGGTTAGTGAATGAGTTCGAGCTGAATCAACCAGAAGATATGTCGACACACCACGAAGTTCAGAAAAGTTTTCAAACCTCGTTTGGTAATGATGTCAAGTCATTGGTGGCAACATTTGAAGAGCTCGGGAACCCTTTCCTGGACCAAGGTGATGATCTTGTTGCACTGGACACCAAAGAAGTTGCTCCGCCAGATGCGCTAGAGAGACTCAAGAATATTGAAATCAAAGGTAAATCCCAGTGTGACGAGTTTGTGTTGGAGCGTTTGGAGGAACGTAAGAGTTCCATATTTGATCCAATCAAGCGGAACAAGCTAAGCTTTTTTACTTCTGCCCTCCCGAAGAAAACAGCAAAGTTCCAACAGCAGCTATCCTCTGTTAAGAGCGACTGCGCTCTTTTTTCCCGCCTCTACATCTCATGTCAGACCAGAGACGGTGACCTTGACGACTTCTTCATGCATGAGAATCAAGGGTGTCCTCCTTCCCTATCCAACCAGGGAAAGCTCCGCCTACCAAAAAAGAAATCGGAACTGGTAGACTGTCTACTAGGGGATGGCACAGCTGCACAATCTACTAGGGAGACTGTCAATGTTACCATAATTGATGGGGCCGTAGCTGTCAATATGATCAGACCAAGCAAAGAGGCAACATTTGAAGATTACGCTTTGAAATCCTTCCTACCGTACATAGAAACACAATCCCGACTTGTTGACCGAATAGATGTTGTATGGGACGTTTACATTCAAAACAGCCTGAAACATACAACCAGATGCAACCGAGGGGCTGGTGTTCGACGTCGTATCTCTGCAAGCAGTCCTATTCCTCGCAATTGGGGTGAATTTCTTTGTGTGGATGAGAACAAAACCCAACTTTTTAAGTTTCTGGCAGAGTATTTATCTAACCTCAACACGGAGAAGCAAGTCATTACAACAGTTGGAAACCAAGTGCTTTGCACAGTACAGCGTGACCTTACTTGTCTTGCTCCTTGTTCTCACGAAGAAGCTGACACCAGAATTATACTTCACGTGCAAGACACCATCAACCGTGGTTATACAAGGATCACTATCCGCACTGTAGGTACGGATGTTCTGGTCCTTGCAGTTGCAGCACTACCACTTCTTTCTGGCCCCACACAACCTGAACTATGGCTCGCATTTGGAACTGGAGCAAACCTTCGATATATTGCTGCTCATACAATTTGCGCCAACCTTGGTCCACAAATTTCAAAAGCACTCCTTTTCTTCCACGCCTTCACAGGTTGTGATACAGTATCCTGTTTTGCTGGAAAAGGAAAGAAAACTGCCTTCGAGGTATGGAAGTTGTACCCTGAAGTCACAGATGCCTTTCTCCTCTTGGCCTCCGAACCACAGGAAGTGAGCGAGTCTTGTATGATCAGCATTGAGCGTTACACAGTACTACTCTACGTCCGAACCAGCAACAAGTCGACTGTAAATGAAGCTAGAAAGCAGTTGTTTGCACAGAAAGGTCAATCCCTGGACGCCATACCTCCTTCTAGAGCGGCTCTAGTGGAACATACAAGACTTGCTGCATACCAGGCGGGACACTGCTGGGGACAAGCTCTTAAGCCACGCCCGGTGCTTCCTAGTCCTGAGAGTTGGGGCTGGACTCTGTGCGAAGGACAGTGGGAGCCATACTGGACGACACTCCCAGATGTCACACAAGTATGCCGTGAGCTAGTCCGATGTGGGTGTAAGAAGGGCTGCAGAGGAAGGTGCTCCTGTCTTAAAGTTAACCTCCACTGCACAGCACTTTGTTCTTGTGACGAGGAGTGTAATAATAGATAGACAATCTTTGCTACGGTTTAAATATCTGCTTCAAACGTTGGCGTGGACACGAATATGTAAAACTGGGGGACTTTATATCTTAGTTGTAATTCAATAACAGTGTGTCTTTCAACAAATGCTCGTGGGTTATTGATTTCATGTTATTGTTATGCAGGTTTCCATGCGCCGTAAATTATATTACATTACGTGTCATTGTGAAAAATACTTTCTGTAATAAAATGATAATTTCAAGTTAAGCATGGCGGCCATGCTGGCCTTGCTGTTCTCACAAATAAATCAACAGAATAAAACATTTTTATTGTAGTATTATAGTTATAATATTGTAGTATAAAGTGGTTTCTTAAAAAAAAGAATGTCTTTTAACAATTATTAGGTAAGAAATAGGCTTATTTGAACTACTTCCGGTGGGGGAAATTTTACTTCCGGTTCAAAATAGCGGCCATTTTAAAACTTGCACGTATCGGTCACCAGCAACATATTTCAGGATGGCTCCATATCAAATATTGTTCAGCATGTAAAAAAACTATATCTGTGCCAAATTTGGTGCTGGTAACCAAAAGTGAACAATTTTTTTCTATATCCGCCCCACTATCAGACATAACCGTATTTTTAATGTATGTAGTATTTTATTGACACATTTCATATTTCTATTAATGTCAACATTCATAATTTAATAATTGAAACAATTAAAAAACAAATGTAGTAAATCCTTTCCATGTCTCCATTAGATGGCTCTGTTTTACATATCAAATCAGATGTATTGGAATTATTTATCCTAAGACAGCTGACTCAGCCAACTCTTATCTTAAAACCAATTTTTGTTAGTTCAGCAAAAAATGGGTGTGCCATGTGAGCAATTAGTTCTGCCAAGCCCAAAAGTGCCAAAGCATGTACAAGATGATTGGCTTGCTCTCACTCACTAGTCATTATAAAAGAAGCTACTCTCTTTGCATGAGCCGTAAATATTTCTCACCACAGTCCAGTCGCGTTGATCTTGAGAGATCGACAGCTAGAAATTTCATACCTTCAGTTCAGTGCATGCTATGAAGACAGGAAATACCACCATTCGATTCAGAAATAAAAGATCAACTACGGGGGCGTTGTCTTTAGAATTGAAGGGTGGAAAAGGTTGAGTTTCCCAACACTTTTGTCCAGGATTGTAGTTCCAAACGATAGTTATAGTCATTAACATTGTAACAATTTATGGGCCTTCGAAAGTCAAACGAGATTGTATACTATCAAATTATGCAATTGTCTGAACAAAAATATAGACTAGCCATACCTTTCGCCAAAAATAACTTTGGCCCCATCAAACATATCGTCTTTGTAATAGTCTTGTTCGAATCCGCATCAAAAACACTATTTAAAGTGTTATTTGCAAGCCTGTATCTTACATTTGAATCTTTTATCACGGTATTTCCATTTCTTGTCCAACTGTATGCTCGAAGTGAGCTAATCCCAACCGGAAATACGACTAAAAAATGTCAAAACAATGCGACGTTTCCATCATATGACCTTGCAAATGCCAGAAATGGATTCTACAGGTCAAATTGCACCTACACACGTGATTTGACGTCATCCCGGACACAGGAGCTTCTTATTGGCCAATTATTCCACAATGTACGTGTGTGCGAGTAAAACCTGACATTTTGAAAAATTCAAAATAAATATTTCCACTCGCTGTATTCAAACGAAATTTTGTACATGAAAGCGCTTGAATACAAGGAGTATTTCACTCGGATTGACTTGCCGGTAATTCCGAAGAGTTCAAGATATATTCAAGATTTTCTGGATATGGAATTTAAAATCTTTGGCCAAGCGGTGAGTAAATATATGATTGTCCGGTTTGTGTAATGTTTTGATGGCACTTGACCCCCCGTTCGAAAGGTTATTTTGTGACGATTTCAATGGTGGCTTTTATTTGAAAGGGGGGTAAATTCTCGCAGAGATATTTACATTAGAAAAATTGGGTCGTAATGTAATGCGAAACCAGTAGGGCGAGAAAGAGTTAAAGTGGTCATAGACCATTAGAGCATTGCATTAGACTCTAGTCGATTTTAGCCTGAAAGTCAAATTCAATTCCGTTAATAGAAAGAATGGCAACATGACAAGTTGTTTCAATTGAAACTATTATAAAAGAAGCTAAAGATTGCTCAATCCTGTGGAAAGATATTGCACCGCAGAAGATAGATGAATGGTTGACAACGTTCGCACTCACAAAAGGAACATGCAAAGAGTTCATCCTTGCCAGTTCATTTCCAGCAGTCAGTGCATTGATGGGAAACTCTGCTATTGAGATTTTTGACGGATTCGAAGAACACACAAACTTGTACATGCTAGCACTTGGTGGTCACATCGACCGGTAAGACCCAAAGCCACAAAAATTGTGTAAGGGACAGACCATTAGATATTTGAGGGGGTGGTTGCAGAAATAAAAAAAAAATTTGTGCAAGCCTTTAACCTTATAAAAAAATGTGCGAGAAGAAAACTTGAAAAAAAAAATTTGTGCAAGCATCCATCCTGTGAGAGTAAACTCCAAAAATTTGGAACTTCTGGATATAAAATATGAAGAACACTTAGAATGCCTTAACAATCCTGATAATCACCCATTATTTACATTTATATGCAAAGGCTTCCAAATTTGCTGAAGCACAGGAGTTTTAAAAATGAAGGCGACGAAATCTGCGAATGGGCATAGGGGGCTGTATGGCCTGCCGAGGAGGTAGGGTATATACTTCATGTAATAAGGGTCCTAGGGCTATGCCCACCCCACACATAGATTCATCAATCATTATAGCTGCAAGACATGAAGTACATACCAGAGGTTGTATGACAACCGCTGAGTCTAAGTCAGTGGTCTGAGAGCGTGAATAATCTGCCTTGATTTTATATTGCATATTAATAATTAATGCCATGGAGTAAATTTGTTTATTCTGTGGTATTAAATACAGTATACAGCATACCTGCAGCCATTACATGATTTATTTTACAAAAAATAAAATTACGCATATAAACAACCAACAAGTATTTATTCTCCACAACATCAAAAGTTAGATTTATAATATATAACATGAAAAACTTTAAGAACAATCTTTATATAAATTACATATTCTTTTTGTTCCTTTGTATCTTTTTCAAAGTTAATAGTCAATAGACAAAATCAAACCATAAAATATCACTATTAATGCATATATATTAACTCATTAACTCGCAATGCGCCCGTATGCGCCCTGGAATAGGCAATGGGGTAACGGACAATGCGCCTGTATGCCACCTAAACGCCACACCATATTCATTGGCCAATAATAAGAGATATGCATTTCGCGTTGCTTAGCAATGGGCACCTATAAAAACACCCGAATCCGCTCTTTCAAAAGAGACCTCGTGCAACCTTGTACAGTTAATATTGTTCAAGTTACAAGTGTTTTAAAACACCTTTCTGCGATTTTTTTTTAAATATGGCTGAAGCACTTCGTATGTTCGACAGTAGTGAGGACGAAAGCGATTTTGAGGGGTTTATAGTCGGCGAAACGGTTGAATAAACTCTGCCTATAGCAAGCGGGAACATCGGCGGTTTCATGGAGAGACATAGCGGGCGATTCGGACGACGATGAAGAGGAGGAGCTTCTTATTGGCCAATTATTGCACAATGTACATGTGTACAAGTACAATGTACACGTTGGCAAGAAAACCCAACCGATAAACTTACAAAAATTCGGCCCCTTATTTCAAAGCTCGAAAATGCTTTTCAAGATGTTTATGTGCCTGGAAAAAATATTTCGATTGATGAAGCTTTGATTAAATTTAATGGTCGTTTATCTTTCAAGCAATATATGCCTAAAAAACCGAAAAAATTTGGTATTAAAGTTTGGATGTTAGCTGATTCTGAAACTTATTTCGTGCCGCGTTTTCAAATTTACTTAGGTAAACAACAAAATGCCGATGAAAATGATGCAGAACGGGCGCAAGGTCTCGGTTTTAAAGTTGTTGATTACCTGGGAAAACCCTACTATAATACTTACTGTCATTTCTATTTCGATAACTATTTTTCCGTGATTCCTTTACTCGAACATTTGCTTGCAAAAAAAACTTACGCATGCTCGACCTTGTGCCACAACAGGAAATAAAACTTAAGCGTGGAGAAATGAGAACTCGACAAAATGAAAATTTAGTTTGTTTGGCATGGCAAGATAAACGTTTAGTCACGATTTTATTGATCCACAGCCCGAAGTTTGCGGCCATTTAGATGAACGCACTGGAAAAAGGAAAGTCGTTCCCGAGGAAGTGCGAGAAAAACCCGCCGTCATATCATTGTATAATAAGTATATGAATGGTGTGGACGTAAACGACCAGTATAGGAGCTACTACCCTGTAAGAGCTCAATCTAAAAAGTGGTGGAAATATTTGGCTTGGTTTCATTTTACAAAACTTCCAGACTGATCGATGTCGTCACCTAAAACATTTAGATTTCCGTCTTGTTTTGGCAAGACAACTTATTTCGACCTATAACGGCTACAAAAAGATTTCTAGTGCTCCGAGTGGATGTTCCAGTGTGTAGAAATGTCAAGGGCCATAGCTTAGTGAAGTCTTCAGAGCGCAAACGAGCATGTGGGATGTGTTCGAAAGCGGGAAGGAAGCGTGTGTCGGGAAGAACGTTTGAAAGTATATATAAGTGCGAGCAATGTAATGTAAATCTTTGTAGAGAGCGTGCATGTTTTATGGAATGGCATCAATAAAGTTAGTCTTACTATTGGACAAAACCATTCAATTTTGCATGTTTTATATTATGCTGTATGTAGTGTTTTTTAATAAAAGACTGGCTCTGTGCCAGGCAGTTTGCCAAACAAGGAAGCCATGTCAATGCAGACATGACAGCTCTGTCATCATCTATCATAGTAAATTTCATATTTCTCCCCCAAACTCTGCTTGTTTCATTTAAGTTTAACAAGTATAAAAATCACAGGTAAATTTCTATAAAATTAAGACAAAAACCAACCCGTCAAGGCATGTATTTATAGGTGCATTTTGTTTTCAAATATTGTTATGGAGACACAAATTATACTTTATACATTACATATTTTTTTGCATGAATTCAGGCAACTAAAAATATTCATGAAAAAATCTCATTTTTTTAGTAATACAATCCCCCATTCGTTATAAGAATTTAAATCCTGGCTTTTCAAGTATTTTGTAAAACAAAAATCATAAAGGAAATGATAGAAATGTTAAAGTTTATCTATCATAGTAAATTTCATATTTCTCCCCCAAACTCTGCTCGTTTCATTTAAGTTTAACAAGTATATAAATCACAGGTAAATTTCTATAAAAGTAAGACAAAAACCAACCCGTCAAGGCATGTATTTATAGGTGCATTTTGTTTTCAAATATTGTTATGGAGACACAAATTATACTTTATACATTACATATTTTTTTGCATGAATTCAGGCAACTAAAAATATTCATGAAAAAATCTCATTTTTTTAGTAATACAATCCCCCATTCGTTATAAGAATTTAAATCCTGGCTTTTCAAGTATTTTGTAAAACAAAAATCATAAAGGAAATGATAGAAATGTTAAAGTTTATCTATCATAGTAAATTTCATATTTCTCCCCCAAACTCTGCTCGTTTCATTTAAGTTTAACAAGTATATAAATCACAGGTAAATTTCTATAAAAGTAAGACAAAAACCAACCCGTCAAGGCATGTATTTATAGGTGCATTTTGTTTTCAAATATTGTTATGGAGACACAAATTATACTTTATACATTACATATTTTTTTGCATGAATTCAGGCAACTAAAAATATTCATGAAAAAATCTCATTTTTTTAGTAATACAATCCCCCATTCGTTATAAGAATTTAAATCCTGGCTTTTCAAGTATTTTGTAAAACAAAAATCATAAAGGAAATGATAGAAATGTTAAAGTTTATCTATCATAGTAAATTTCATATTTCTCCCCCAAACTCTGCTCGTTTCATTTAAGTTTAACAAGTATATAAATCACAGGTAAATTTCTATAAAAGTAAGACAAAAACCAACCCGTCAAGGCATGTATTTATAGGTGCATTTTGTTTTCAAATATTGTTATGGAGACACAAATTATACTTTATACATTACATATTTTTTTGCATGAAGGCAACTAAAAATATTCATGAAAAAATCTCATTTTTTCAGTAATACAACCCCTCATTCGTTATAAGAATTTAAATCCTGGCTTTTCAAGTATTTTGTAAAACAAAAATCATAAAGGAAATTATAGAAATGTTAAAGTTTATAGTATTTAAAGCCTTTAAATATTCAATGTCTTAATTACAAAGGAAACATTTTTAAGAAATTAGCTATGTATGAAGTTTTCACTCATTTATCTTGTCTGTTATGGATCTAGTTGTGCTCATTTATAGAAATGAAAGCTTATTCATTACTTATTGTCTTGCCAAATTTCATGTTTTACCATTACATTGCACTTGAGCTAGAACCATTCATGTAAACATAGTTGGCAGGAACTAAAATTTGCCATTTTTTTGTCGACTTTGGGGGTAGAAACATTGTAACAGCTTGCGTGTTAATGAGTTAAAATACTGTTAATATTATTGTATATATTATTAATAATAATGCCTTTGAAACGTAGAACTGTTTGATTGAACGTAACATTTAAATATATTATAATCTATGGAGTATCTATATATATTCAACATGCTTCATCAGTTGCTGCATGATTCTGCTTCACTGATACTGCTGTAATAATCCTCTTTGACATCTACTAACTGAACCACAGCAACCTCTGTCTCCTGCACATCACCAATTGGACTTCCACTTTCCTTGGATGACTCTCCAGTTACTGCCTTTGCTCTCTTTGCTTTCATCCTTCTCTTCTGTGCCTTTCTTTTGGCCTTTTTGTATTCTACACAATACCCATATTTCTCTCGGTCCTTCTCCAGAATTGTTTTGGCTTCTGCAACCTTTTCCTTGACCATTTTTTGGAGTGCTGGCAAGGCTTCATCTTTAAAAAAATTATACTCTGAGTTGTAACCTGTATTAATAAAAGAAAAAGTTTAATTTTGTAAGATTTTCTAAAATTTTCCTTAGGTGTGAATTACATTAATTTTATAGGCAGTGTATAAATATTCTTTGATACTGTCTCCCTAGTGTACCATTTTATTTAGAGTACCAGTTGATAAAATATTTTATATTGCTTTTGAAGTTTAACCCATTAAGTTGCAGAGCTTCCCCATTGACGAGTAAAATCGTCTGGCGTTAGACAAGTAAAAAAAATCTGGCGTTAGACAAGTAAAAAAAATAAGTAGGGCGCACTGTGGCTCAATGGGTTAACTAGAGACATTGTTAGATTTTTTGATTAACCATTAAGCTGCAGAGCTTCCCCATTGAAGAGTAAAATCATTTGGCGTTAGACAAGTAAAAAAAAATAAGTAGGATGCAGTGGGGCATATTGCTGCTCAATGGGTTAATCATCAATTATTAATGCTTTACAAATAAAGATTTGCACCTCTTTTCGGTGTTTCTGCACCACAGGTGAGACAATCTGTTGCATACTGGCTGCACTTTCCAAGTGAATGTGGTCTGAGAATGCACTAGCTTCTTCCAACATTGCAACATACAGACCTAACATTTCATAAAAGGCTTTCGGAGGGATGCACGACTTGTCCTTTCTGGTTTCCATGAAATCCACTACTGCAGGATATTGCTTATCTGCAATTTCACAGAGACCAACAATACTTTGACTTTTGTAATAGTCAGTCCATGTGGAAATCACTGTTTTCTGTGCTGCTGCTAACATAACGCAAGTTCTCTTTTTGCGTTGATCTCGGCACCACATTTCACAAACACGCAACGATTTCTCATATTGCAGTCTCTCCTGGGCCATTTTCAAAATCATGGAGTTCGAAAACACTTGAGGATTTATCGGGCATTCATACCATAAATTTTTAAACTTCTGTTTCGATCGTTCCACAGACATGACAATATGTCCCTTTCCATCCTGTGTATGAAAACTATCTCTGAAGGCTTTCGGTAGGGATATAATCTCAGAGCTGAAGAAGTTTTATATCCAGGCTTAACGGCTTTGGTCAATAATTTAGACTTCCAAGTAGCAATTTCGCGCTGAAGTCGATGCCATTCGAATACGGTGAGACTGAGCAGTCTGATGTTGTCTTCTTTTATGTCTTGTAAGTGCTCAATTTGCATTATTCCATTGGAGAAAAAATTTCCACACTTTTCATGTAACAATACTTTGGAAAGAAATGTTTTAAATTCGCTATACTCATCAATGTTTTCCATAATTTTCGCGACCTTTTAGTTTTTTGCTTCCCATCATTCCCACGGTTTCCAAGGGAACAAGGATGTTTTCCTACAAGGACTGGACTGGGTACAAGTCAGGGAAAATTCAAGATGGCGATTTTATATGATCGATCAAAATTGAGATAGATATGTTTCTGAATCACTTTCAAGTGTCACATAACAGTGTAACAGCAGCTGAATGTCAAAACAAGATTCAACAGAGTATAGAGAGTTCGATTTCAGAGTCATCCATAAAAAAACTCACAGTACTGTCAAGCCTTTTGGACCAATTGTCCATTCACAAAATTCTGCCATTTGACATTGCATATGAAGAATATGCGGCAAAAGTTCCTTCCAGTGCCAACTCTACAAACCAAAAGAGTGCAAGGGTACAATTCAGAAACCTAATTCTGTCCAAGAAGGGGATACCTGTAGTAATAGTTCACAATCAAGGAAAAAGGTAAGCAATTTTAACCTTTAATTTTAAATGTCTTGCCTATTAAACTAAATATGCCAATGGTTATGTGACTTTTGTCATTTAAAGACCACTCGTCCTACTCTGTTTGCATTTTACCCCATGGCAAGTCACTATTAAATACTGAAAGCTGTATTAATTCTATGACTTTTGGTATCTACAGTGTGTAAATCAGACTATTTGCCTGCTTTAGGTTTGTCTGCATTCTTGAGAAACCAGCACAGCACTTGGAATTTTTTCAGTCAGAAAAAAGAGAACATCCAGCATTTGCTTCAGTACTTGCTGGAAATATTCCAATTTTGCTGAAGCTGATGTCATCCTCAAGAGACAGAGCCATTGTGCAGTTTATACTAGCTTCCATTTATTCAAACACTGTCTTGCATAATGTCATGGGGTATACCTCAGTGATTGTGAATGGCATAAAAGGTGAAGTGGATAATTTTTTGATACAGGCAGAGTTAAATGAGGAATGTTCAATGCAGTCAGCAGAAAGTCAAGTAGCAGAGGCTGTTAGTAGACTAGAAAACATCATTGAAAAGAATGAAAACATGCTTGAAAGAAAAAGAAAGTGCCTGGCCAATGAAGAAATAGAAGACCTAGAGAATGACTTAAATGTAAAAAGGCAGTGATTACAAAAACTCATGCAGAAGCCAGTTGGAATGATGAAAAGAAAAGCAAGGAGGAATTTTTTTCTTGGAAATTATCACTTCGGTCTCAAAAGGGTAAAAACAAGGGCAAATACAGAATTGACAGGGGGGCTGAAAGAGCAATATACAAAGTATTAGAAGAACAGTTAAGAGGCTGTCTCTGTAAGAACCGGGCACCCAGTTCTGGAAGGAAATATGAAAGTCTTCAAATTTTTCACAATAATTTTCCTTTCAGGTACTTGTATGAAAAAAGAAATCGGTTTGCGTTAAAAAGCTTTTTTTGTAAAATTTGGCCCATCGATATTTTACACCTTGACGGGTCCAAAATGGCGGCCTGAAACTGCCGTAAATAGCAGATTTTCGTACGACTCTCGCGAAGCAATTAGGAAAGTGAGAGTCTTATGTATCAAAATATTTTAACAATCAGTGGTTATAGTTTCTTACAACAAAAAATCAGGAACATCTATCCAGGATTTGAGGAGAAATAATTTTCTGAAAAGATACACTTTTACTAGTTTGCAAAGTCGCACATTATAAGACAAATTAAATAGCAATTTTCGTAAGTTTGGCACCTTATACCAAGTACACATTACTACCATTGTGAACCTAGAGCTGTGTTTTTTTAACGGGAAACGTAAAATATTTGGGCACTTGACGGGCATAGCCACAAATCATCTACAAAGTTTGATAATTTTCCTGTAATTGACGAGTGACGACGCATGCGTTGCTAACGTAATTTTTCTTCAAAACTCTCACCCAGCAACATTGCTGGAAAAATAACTTAAAAGTCAACTTTTATTTTGCTTTTGTTTATTAAACGTTTCGCAAATAATACGCAAATATTTATTCTGTCGCGCTTGGTCATTTATTTTTCTATTTATTTTTACCGGTGGTTCTATGTTCATTGCAGGGGCGTGCTCAAGTTATGAATATCTTTAATCGATTAGCAAACGGCTTGAAATATCGATCGGCGAATACAGGCATTTGTTTAAACTGTGAAACTTGTAACAATCTTTATATCCTTTCATAAACAAAGATTACAATTCGGCAATTATCTTGCTATATTAAATAAATGTAAAAATTTATTCTACATGCTAATTAGGTCGAGCATTGTCAGAAACCGGAAAGTGTCAATTTCTCTGCTGAATATTTTGACGCGGGGTATATCAATAAACAATTGCTTTCTTATTAATAAGTACTATTTAAAGCACGCGTAGGAGTGTTTTATCACATATAAAACACGACTCATCTTATACAAGTTCATTTGCAAAATAATTTTTAAAATAAACTTTGTCTAAACCGAGAAAATCAAAGCTAAAGTTTATGTATAAAATTAAAGTGATTTTTTATCACATATACTGTAAAACCACGACACGCTTATGATTTTTCTTTGTGTTTTGCTCCGGAATTATTAATGACTTTTTGAACGATAATTATAAACGCACGCCTATATTATATATTCCACCAACTTTTGGCATTCGCTTGAAAGTTTTAGTGACTTGAAGATTAATATTTGACTTTCATGCGGATTCGGTTCTAAGATGTCTTCCATGTGTTCATTTTCCACTCGTATAAAATCTGAATGCGGCAGTCATTTGTGAGTGTGGAGAATGTTACTGTATGTTGACAAAATGTAAAGACGATATTCGCGGGCATCTTTCAAGCTGCCACTTGTCTTGGGAAAATATCGAAGAGTATGAATTAATCTTAGCCAGGGCTGGATTGTTTGATATTCCGGAGTCAACTGGAGAAGATGGGGGGTTTGCCCTCGTCATGCATTGGGGAAGGAAAAGCGTCCTCTTCGTTCGTGTCAGTATCCAACTCATCTATCCAAAAAGAAAAAAGTGAAAGGTTCCCATGTTGTTCTGCTAAAGCTTGCAAAGAAATCCATAAAATAGGGCTGTAGAGTTGTAGGGTTGTAGAGCGGTAGAGTTTTAGAGCTGTAGAGCTCTAGAGCTAGCTGTAGAGTTGTAGAGTTGTAGA